AACTATCTACTCTGAAATAAACACTTCTCACTCAAGGGAAGACTTTCTTTCACATTGTGATGTGGATTTCAGACTAATTTTTAAACAGAATGAAAGACAATTAAATTGAATGAGTTATTCCACCTCTTAGAAAAGAGCAATGACAGTAGAATCCTTGGGCCAAAACAATGATGTCTAAAATGACTGCATATGTTTTTTCAAATTCAACAGGGCGGGGGGGCGGGGCGGGGGGGAAGCTAACACAGGGCTCTTCAAATAAATTTTTCCTCCAACCCTTTCAACTATAAAGTTTGTACAATATAAAATCAAGAGCTGAAAATAGGAAATCAAAGGGAGCAAATTCTGGTCTTAAAATGTGGACATCCTAACTCATTCATTTCTTCTCTAGCACACCAAAAATGTTATCTTCCCCAAGATAACAGCCTGCAGCAAGTACTGTTTATACAAGATGAACAGAATCTAAATCAAGAATGTCGTTAGTCACACTTAAGTATTTGAGGTATGTATGTTTATCTTTGGAAAAAGCTTCCTTTTCTGATATCTTTCTGTTGTGATTCTTTTTGTTTGTTTGTTTAGCTCTGTTTTCCAATGAGTGATGTGTGTTCTCTATAGCTTATAGCAAAATGACTAATTAGAAACAGGAATTTTGGTAGCAGCAAACATTACAAAGCATAGTTACTTCCCTGTGTGTATAGTATACTAGTAGACTTCACTTAGCAGCATCCCACAGCTTGTATACAATACTACAAGTTTAACTGAATGAAGACATAGTGTGCTCTTTAGCATTTAACTCAAGCCTCTTTGTATATTTGACCAGGATCTGGCCACTACAGTCTATAGCCTGCAGAAATGTAGATTTTGTATTCATGTTCTCCATAAATAAGACTGTACAGGGGGATCACTGCTAAACAGACACAGAATTACAGCCAACCCACTTAGTGCAGCATTTTGTTCCTGACAATAGCCAGAGGAAGGAGCAAGAAACACTGTGGTGGCTGGAGACACTATAATTCATCTGTGTGTCTCATTCTAATCCTTAAAAGCTGTAAACTGGCCTCAAAACTGAAATATGAATTGAATCACTGTTTCAAAAAAAAATATTATTAGAATTAGTATTCAGTTTCTTTTTGCATCTTGCTGAATTCTTGGCCTGGAGTAACATCCTGTGGCAATATGTTCCACAGTCTAATTGTAAGTTGCATGAAAATGTGTTCTCTTTAATCAGGAAAGGAGCACTTGTCTGGCTTGATGGACAAATACTGCTTGTCTTGCCATTCCACTGCTGTGCTGTCATAGTACACTGAGAAACCAACAAATATGCAGAGATGTGGCACAGTTCGTACTGGGAGGACACAGATACTGAATAGCAATACTCCATCCTTGCTTTGCATGCATACACGCATATGCTTCGGTAAACTTTGCACATCAAATCTACAAGGTCAATATAAAAGAGCAAAAGCACTTCCAAACACTTTTCTCTGCTTCATTTATCATCTGCAATCAATGAAATATTCATTAGCACCAAGTCCTCCAACTAGGCCTCTAACTCAGTATGTTGAAATGATATTTTTTTCTTAACACATCAAAACATCTCAGAGCTACTACATAAAAAAACCCCCAACCTTAAAAAGGTATTTTAGAGATGAGAACATTCATATTGTCTTCACTTGCTGTTGATAGGTTTTGCTGTCTAATAAAGCACACAGATTGCTACTGACCACAACCAAGTCTAGAATCAACCAGTTGTAGTAGCCTGTCTGCACTGCAAAGTAGCATAGCCATAGCCAGCTATGTCAGGTTCAGGTTCTGGTAGCTGTTCAGAGGAAAGGCGCAGGGCTCCATGTTACAGTAACTACTCCAAATATTTACTCAGCTTCCTAAAGGAGTTTTACTGCCACTATTAGCTGCTGTAGTTCAAATGCTACCAGTACCCAAACGAAGTAGTTTGAAGTTGGCTTGAACTAGTTCATGCTACACTGTGATTACAGCACCAGCTGACGCATGGACACCCGCTTAATTAGCTATCTGAGACCATGAAAGATGCAGCAAATCCAGAGAATCTCTTTCTATAAGCCCGGGTATTTTTACCAGAATGATGACAGATTTGTCCCTGTGTAGTGATTAATGTTAATTTCACCTTGAAAATTCTGAGCTTCTTTTTTATTTTGCTAACTGATTCGCCAATAAAATTATAAAAGCATTACATGCTGAAAGCTGGAATTTTCTTCCCAAGTTGAAATCAAATATTTTGACATTTATTAGTTCCATAAAACGTTGCTAAGAAAATAAACATTTTTTAGTTCATTAGAACCATATGCTCTTCTGTTTATAAAAAAGAGCTGTTCTGGGACACTGAAAAAACATTCCCTGAGAACTGCATTCTTTGGGGGATTTACATTTTTTTTAACCCTTTTCCTGATTATCAGGATCTACACCACATGTCCAGAGTCACAGCACCTATGGAGTCCTGTGTCAACAGTATTAACGGTGTTGCTCTACAGAGTTGAATTCCAGCATTATTCTGCATTTACTTCAACTGGTATGGCTCTGTTAGGTATAGCTGGAGGGTGAAAGGAATTACTTCAAGTAGCTTAGCAGACATGCAAGGGGGCCACATACCTTGAGAGATCTCATATGCCTTGTATCCAGGGAGTCCTATAACCTATGGGGTCAGTAAAGCTTCCCCAAGATTTGCATTATCTCAGGAATCTTCAGTTGTTTGGTGGCCTACACAACAGCAGTCCCCGGTCTTAGTGAGTAAAAAAAGGCAGCATCTTAGGAGGACGCCTCAAGGAAAGGGTGAATGACTGGCAATGTTTAGCAAACCTACAGCAGTTTGGGCTGAACAGGCTCAGACCTTAAGTTTAAACCAGGACAGATAATTCATGTTGGATACATTTGACTTTAAATCAAGTTTTGCCTTCAAGCAGGGAAGCATGAAATTGTCCTCATGTGTTCTGTTTCCAGAGGGTTTTGAAGCATGGTTCAGGGTAGAGAGCCTACTCTATGAGTAATTGCAATGTATCGATGTAAAGTTCGCATTAGAAAAAAGGCATGGGGCAAAATTTTGTATTTCTTGGTTTACAGAGATCTCATTTGTATTAATTTAACTCTTCATTCCTGTTTTCAGAGGTTCAGGTCAGCTCCATTCTGAAAGAACATAAGGCAGCTTTCAGCCTGACTCCCTGCAGTTTTCTGTCGTGCAGACTGACTCTCTGCTGCCTCATCAGGCACAAACACAATTAAAACCCTTATCACAGCTGGTGCATTCAAAATCTCTCTCATCTATGTGGATTCTTGAACATCTAATAAGGCAAGTGGTCCCACTGCAGCCTTTTCCTTGGGAAGCACTGATTTACATACCACTACTCTACCTTGCTGTCTATGTTCAGGCCATTTTAACTAAGTTAGTACTATGGTTGAACGTCGAGTCTTACAAGTCCTCAGTTCAGTTTCTGGCTCAGTCATGCTGTATGTCTAATGCTGAAGTCATGCAGTCCAGCTCAATTCCTTCCCTTTAAAGTGATGACAACATTTTGCTATCTCGCAACATGTTGCAAGGATCATGAGAGCCGCTCAGACTGTGAGGAGGGTCAAGAAAGTCTACAAAGGTTTCAAACTTAGGCATATCAGTAGTCTTCAGTGAGAGGGAAGACTAAGTGTGTCACCTATATCCTGAAGTGTATTATTCTGTCCTGGGAAGAATGTGAATACCACATAAATAAAAAAGCCCAACAAAACCCCAAAACATTACCTTCTAATCAATGCCAACTAAAAAAATTAGGCTTCACTATACAAATCTTTCAGCAATCCAGACTGCTACACAGGACTACCCACCTCTCAAACTGAAAAGTCTTGTTTATTGGTGCATGACCAGGACGGCTACACTTTACAAGGACAGTTTCCTAAGAGAAAAACAAAATACTTACAGTTAGTATCACAGGCACACACAAAAAAATAAATATCATTTCTAACATTCCAGGTGACAGCAGTAATTAAGGATCATGAAGTCCAAGGCCCAGCAGTCACCAACACATGAGGCTTTAGAGCCTGTATACTGCAGTGAACTAACAGGACCACAAGAAGGGATCTCAAAACACATCCAGATTATTAAAGATCAACCAACACAAACTATGCACACTTAAGTTCACAAGAAAGATCCAAACCCTTACCTGAACTTCTTATGTGTCTAGAAAGCCACAAGCAAGTAAACCCAATCTCCCTAACTGCCACCAGAGGGGTAGAAACAAATGGCAAAAGGAGCCCTTTCTTGTTATACGGTCAGTTTCCGCAGTGCCTTTTCAGACTGATTTCATATATATTTGTGCCTAGAACTGAGCAGAAGATGCAGATTTCATAGAATAAGATGCTAGTCCACAACTGCGAGAAAGAGCTGCACTAACACAACTGCTAGAATGCCATGATTTTTTAGTGGAATCCACTTTCCAGATGGATTATATAGTTTTGTAAGTCTGACAGATACGTAAGCAGCTCTTTATTACCAGAGTGTAATTACAGCAGTCTAGCATGCCTTACATAGCAACTTCTGTGCCCTTCCACTCCTCATGGCATATGTTCCTTAATTGCAGAGAAAAGTAAAGAAAAAAAAAAGTGGGGGTTTACAACAATTTGGGTGGAAGCTCACTAGCACACAAAATACTTCATCTAATTTAAGGAGGTTTCCTAGCTTACTAACCTGTGGTTACATTACTGCATTTGATGGGAGTGCTTAAATTCCTACTGTGCGTCAGACAAGTAGCTTGGAGTGCTGAACTAATGGCCTTCAAATGAGCATTGCCGCAGACTGAAGTTTTAAAGAGCTGGGCAAATAACAGTTGCGTAACAGTATGTCCAGTATGCAAATGGCTAATAAAAATCAAATTTCTTGTTTTGAGTTTACAAGTATTTCTTCCTCTTTGGAGGACGCCAACATATCATTATCAACCAAATGATTACAATGCTCACGCTACAGAATGAGCTATGTTACCTATCCCAGTACTGGCAAATCTAGCAGCAGTACAGCTGTGAGTACAACACTTTGTGACAAAATGGCCTGACACGCGGAGGGGGGGAAGGGAAAAGGATATAGAGTTATGGAACACATTTCTGATTCAGATATCAAATTTACTTACAGACCAGCTTTTCCTAAGGTGAGAAATGGGGCAGAAAAAAATGCTATTTGCATAACATAGAAACAAAAGAACTGTTAATAGGCAGAAGTTTCAAATGAGTGTTTGTAACGACCTTCCTTTCTCAGGAGATCAGTATGGCCTAACATATCCACTAGGCTGCTGGCCTACAGCATCTCATCAGGTTTCCCTGCCAACAGTCCTTATGAAATCTATACAGCTGTCTCACATGAACACTGAAGAGCCTTTTTTTCAGCCCAGAATCACAGAATACTCCCAGACTGAGTTCTTTGAGGGCAATATGAATCATGGAAATGACAAAAGGATACTTCATAAATATTCACAGCCTGTCTTGACACCCAAGCCTGACTCCCCAAGCCTGGGGAGCAGCTCAGTAAGTGAAATTCAGTGAAGCAGAGAAATAATTTTAAATGAGTTATATGGAATAGTAGATACAGACATGGTCACAGAATCCAGCTGTGGTAGTTATAATTTCTTTTCGCTTGTTACTGCGTATCTGCTGAAGGCTATGCCCCCTTTCCCAAGACTACTGCTCCACAGCAGAGCCAATGTAAGGGAGACTGACTGCTCCTCACGTTTCACTGTCAACTTCAGTGCAACCGGCTGACAAAGCACTGAGGCTGACACGGACAGCTTAAAGGATTCCAGCACTGGGTAAGCACCAGAGGAAGAAAACTCTAGCTGGGAATGGTGATAAGCAACTTGGGAGCAATAATGTCTCCAACCGATATAGTTACATCCATCTGATCTATCACAAAATTAACTCCCAAGAAAAGGAGGGCTGTGTTAAATTCATGTTTTACCAGTCCTATCTTGAAGAAACAACAGCATCTTGCACCTTCCCTGATATTCAGAGCACCCTCTTTGTCACCCCCCCTTTTCCTCAGCCACTTGCAAGTGAAAACCTTCTCAAAATGATTTGAAGGGAATTAATGATGTAGGGGCAGCCAGTTTCTTTTCTCTGTGCCAAAGGAAGTTGGATTCAAACATCACTTCAGGTGTTAGGCTAGGGCAGGTGTCTCAGGTGCCTACGTAGTCATGGAGACAGACAAACATATTTAAAGTCTCAAATCTTAGGTGAGTGACTTTCCCTCTGGAGGTGGCTCCTTTTCTTCAGCAATCACAAGGGGAGTCTGCAGTGATTAGGCACCTCATTTAAGTGCCTACAATTGGTGTTGTGAATCCAGGTGAAAACATAGCTACTCATTCAAGCACGACACCTATATTCATTAGCGCACACAGCACACCCTGTCAGAGATGGATGAAACTACAGAAAAGCAGCAGGTGGGATCCTAGACCAGAATCGCAGAATGACTGAGGTGGGAAGGGGCTCACAGAGACCACTGAGGCCAACCCCCTCCTCAGAGCAAGGTCAGCTACAGCAGGCTGCCCAGGACCGTGGCCAGTCAGGTTTTGAGCATCTCCAAAGATGGAAAGTTCACACCCTCCCTGGGCAACCCGTTTCCAGTGTTTGACTGCCCTCACAGCTTCTTCTCATGTTTAAGCTGAATTTCCTGTATTTCAATTTGTGCCTGTTCCTCCTTGTCCTGTCACTCCCAAGAAGAGCCTGAGCATTCAATATCTCATCTACTGATTTCTCAGGTAGAGACAATACTAGTGCTGCTCAGTGTCCTAATCTATGTGGAGTAGCTCAACCTGATGTGTAGTCTGGACTCCCTCTCCACCATCATTGCACAACAAGCTTCAGGAGAAAAGGCTCAGACAGTTGTTACTGTTATGCTGAGGAGCTGGGCATACATGGGAAAGCAAAAAAGAAAATTTCAAAAATCTTCAAGTAGCTCAAAACCTGAAATGAAATACTCTTCTGTACATCCAGTAAAATCCTAAGCCTTTTTTTAGACTTAGAATAATGATTCTCTAGACAAGATAATCAAGATTACAGAAAAGATGACATGTCTTTTGAAGAATATGAATCCCTAAATAAACAAAAGAAAAAAGACTCAAAGACTAAATGGATTTCATGTAGTCTCAGTCTCACAACAAGATACAAGACCATTCTTTCCAAGCGTCAGTTCTGCCTATCTAGACAGTTTGAAGGAAGTCTTAACACAGCTCCTGGCAGAAGAGAAGCAAAGCTATTTTGTACTGCAATTTCTGCTGTGGTCTTTCACTACGAGACAGATGCTTTCCCTATTCTAGTGATAACATGACAAAGTTGTAGCATAAATGAGACAGATCAGCATATTCCTAGAGCTCCAGCCCAATCCAGGAACAATGTCAAGCTGAAGCTTGTCCAGAAGATCCAACCATTGTTTCCAATATGTGTGCTGGACTGCATTGTGACTCTGGTTCTCAAATGCAGCTCTGCTTTCTAATGCACATTAGCTCTAGAATGATCATGGCAGATAACCGTCTGGTTGTGTTACACATATAAAGTATTTTCAGGGAAAAATCTGGAAAGACAGCCATGATCTAAAAATCAGAACTAATAAACACAGTACCTGTATCAAAGACAGTGTTCCTTTACCTTCATCTAACATTTCCTTTAAATTATAAATGCTTGTCTGGAAAATCGTTAACTTGTTTCCAGAAATATGAGCTTTGACTGTTGCAACTAAACGCTCAATAACAAATCAAGCCCCATAATTTTATTTGAAAATTGCACATTTATCCTAGCCACAAGCATAACACCTTCAGTTGTTAAAAGCAAAATAAGCAGACAATAAACATTGTTTTCCTTTACTTTTCTTAGATTAGTCTAAATTGACTGCTTTTTGTAAAAAATCAGTTGCACTTTTATCGTCCCTCATGAACTTGGATACTTTAAACAAAAATATTTTTTTCTTAAAAAAAAAAATTCACATTAAGAAACTAACACAGAGAGTTCAGGTGTTTGATTAAAACTAGAAAGCATTTTAACCAAATTAATGTCAAGGCAAACCAATAAAATATTTGAAGTCACTGTTGTGTTTTCCAAAACCAGGAAGTATCTTGCAAATTTCATTTTACAATCAGGTCCATGCATACATTGATGTTCCTGGAACATTTCATAAGGACTTTTAACCATGAGCACAGGTTAGTATATTGAAGGTTACCAAGTCACTGTTTCATACAAACAAAAATTTGTAAATTGGCATAAGCAAGTAGATACTGCTTTGCCTGTAAACATATAGCTACTGTAATACATCAGATAGCTATATGAAATAATCCAAAACCTAAATATTATCTAATTTCATCTTTATGCAATAAAATTTAACAGATGAGAAATGGTCGTGGTATTTTATAGTACAATAAATGGGTCATGGCATCCAGAATACTATGTCTACCATTACAGATCCCTGGTTTTTATCTGGCATATTTACTCTTTTTCAGCTGACTCTTCATGTGCTCCATTAGTTTGCTAATTGCATATATATATCTATCTCTCTAAGTATCCACTTTATACAAGTGAGATCTGCTTAATGAAGCTGTAATTTGGGAGATTTAAATTCACAACATACTGTAGGTCACTTCAGCAATATTTTAAGCACTATACTATAGAAGAAAATTTGGCTAATCACCATGTAAGTAACAGCAAGCAGCCAACTAAGAACTATGGCAGCTAAGAAAACGAAAACCCAAGTTAATAATTTGACCTTAGCTCACATTACTGTGTCTTTTTAAATGTTTTATCTTGTTAATGGCCTCAATTAATGCTGGAATGTCACCTGGATTTGCAGCCTCGATGCTCATTCTTCTTCCTCTGATGCATCTAAGCCAGGACACTTTAACATAGTTGACTGCAGTACCATGTAGGCTGTTGTGGTTTATGAGAGATTGTATTTCTCTCCTAATGCATTAGTTGTGTTGCAATAATAAAATGAAAAAAAGGCTGACATAATTTTCGAAATAGTTACAGCAAATACAAGTGGCTCAAAGGGACTGACTGCAGGAAGTTTGCAGCAGTTTGCTGCAAACACACAACCTCCAGTTCATGGATGACTGCACCAGCAGAAGCTCCAAGCTATTACTACTACAAGGAGTCAGGATTTAAACAGCATGAATCACCTGCTATTGCACCCATGGGTGATCAAAGCTGGACACTAACTGACAACAAAGTACCTCATTTTTTTTTAAAACCCATGGTTCACATGTCCCTCTTGTTTCTTCTTCCTAGTATCTGAGAACATGCTTTTGAATTTCACCATCAAATACTCACATCATCAGCTGCATATGCCACTTTTTCTGAAAAGGTTCTTTGCCTGCAAGGGAAAAAAAAAGCCAATAGGGAAAAAAAGGTACCTTTCAAACCATAAGTCTTCCATTTAGCTTAGGAAAGTCAATGCTCAAAGTGTCTGTGAACTGCACATTATCTGAAGACTGCTGTTCAGAATTGCCACTATAATTGTACCCCATGTACGTACTAACACCACAGTTAATTGTGAATAAAAAAACAAATTAAAGTGCAATCAAGCAAAATAATCTGCTTAAAAAAAAGAAATTTAGAATAAACCAAATTAAGACAAAGTCACATGCAAGCCATTCTATTATTTTGAGATCGTAACGTGAGCTTGTAACAAGAGGCTTTCATTTTAGAACGTTAAAGTGAAAAACACCCTCTTTTTAGGTATTTGTCCCTGATCTCGCATCCATTACTAGTCAAAAAACTGACTAGCATTGCTGAGGCATATAAATTCATTCATGTGTGTAAGTGTTTTGAGAATCAGTCCTTAGTTTTACAACTAAGTTTTATTTCAATTAGTTTTTGATATATTAAGAAAAGTTAGTCTTAACAACTGTTTGTTTGGCCCAATCCATCCTATTTTATATGGGAATTCAGCACCTGATTGCGCTATTCCACGCAGCAACAAAACCAGGGAGTGGGTTCCTTCCCAGGTATATCAAGTGCAGGCTAACGCAAGTTTCCCCTTCAGGCTCCTTGAATTTTCTTTTCTGCTATTTTTAATGTTGTTTTAATTTAAAAAAATCTATAGTTTTTTTAAGATCTGCCAAAAATCTAATAAACTTTAAAACATTGAATGTACTTTTTTTTTTTTTAGAATTACCAGCCAGCAAAAGTAAAACAAAGCCCCAAATCAGCTATTTACTGATAGAGCAAATGATAATGTTACTGGTTTCTAGCCACCCACTTAGTTTTCCTGTCTGTGTTTGTGTATGTTTCCATCTCTACCTTCTTTCATATTAGTCACCTATGGAGAATTCAGCTTGTTATAGCACATACTTGCATCTAATCCCTCTTTTCCTTTTGGATCTTGGAATGTTTTGACATTTCAGTTACAGTAAGCGTATTATAAATTAGGGATGAAGAGCCAAAATTATACTGAAATAGAATCACCAGTGTTTGTGCTGACAGAAAATCTGTTCTATAGCATTACAAGACAACTGTAAGGCTGAGTGTGTTTCTCTGCCCATGACTTTTGACAGTTACTACATTACTGTATCCCAGAGTTTGTATAGCACAACGAATATACTCTAAACTGACTGCAGCTGTGTTACTTCAGCTCTGGCTTTCTATTCAGGTGGGCATACTTTTAGACAAAGCGATGAGACTGACTAAAG